TTCCCTCCCTTCCCTTAGCATTATTGGATTGCAAATACCTTATTAATGTATTGGTCATAAACAGTTCCCACACTCCGAAAAACTCGCCTTTACTACTTCCTTCACCACTTCCTACGTCACCGACCTGTTTCCCTCCCTTTCCATAGCATTTTAGGATTGCAGATACCTTAATCTAATCATCATAAACAGTTCCCACACTCCAAAAAACTCGCCTTTACTTCTTCCTTCATCACTTCCTCCGTCACGGACCTGTTTACCTCCCTTCTTTAGCATTATTGGATTGCAAATACCTTAATCTATTGGTCATAAACAGATCCCACACTTTTGAACAACTCGCCTTTACTTCTTCCTTCACCACTTCCTACGTCACGGACCTGTTTCCCACCCTTTCCATAGCATTTTAGGATTGCAGATCAGTGGCGTAACAGTATTTCCCCGGGCCCCCCCGCAAATATGTCTGTGGGCCCCCTACTACCCCTCCCATTCCCCACCACAGCACTATATACCACAACCATCACCACACCACAACTATCACATGACGTAGGTGACGGCAGGCATACGGCCTACACGATCAGACTGGCAGAGGATGGTCTCTAGCAATATCAAGTATTTACCTATTCTTCAACCACACGACCAGAGTCGTCCTTGAAACATATTTTATATTTTGTCACTGTCACAGTGATAATAAACTTGGGAGTTATGTCCGTGATTAATATATATAATATATAATATTAGTAAGATGGGCTACTCCATTACTCCACCATTCACATTCATTACTAAACTCAACCAAGCTTCCAACTATAATTTGAGTCGGGACCACGAAAGTTTGCAGTTGAGGGAGTAGCATATTTACCATTTGACTTCAAATGAGCCAATGAGGGCAGTGCGGTGTTGCCAAATCGAATAATACCAGCTGTTTAAAAAATGTTGTTTAGTATTTTAATTAGTGTCGTCAAAGGGCGATATGGCAACGTCGCACTAGTCTTGTGATTGGCTGCCGCCAACTGCAAACTTTCGTGGTCCCAACTGTAAATGTTAGTGCTTCACTAAATTAGCCCAATTTAATGACATGCCACCTGATTGAGAAACTCTCGCGACATGCACTACTGACGAGGCACTCGCAATCCGCATGGAATGGATCTCCAAAATCAGGTGATCTACGGTCAGCTGAGTACACGTGAGCGGTTAGTGTCGGAGGGGGGAGGGCCGAGGGGCTGGCTCCGAGTGTGTGTCGCCACGGCGCGGCGGCAGGCCCGGCACACACAGCTCCTAGCGCTAGCATGAAGCTACACAACCATACTGACAATACACATCGTCGGGTGATCGTAGTGAGCGTTGGCGTTTCGTTAACAATATTGTTAATTAAAAGATAAAACTTTAGTAGATTTGGCAGAATAAAAGTATCTACCAACACATCGTTTTTTTATTTATAATTTGTCAGGAGAGAAAAACATTTGTGAACAAAGGATCGGTTTTACGGACGGTTTTATGAGAAAAGGGTATCTTAACCTCGCAGGCCCCTAAACCTCGCGGGCCCCCCCGCACCGCGGGGTCTGCGGGGGCGGCTGTTACGCCACTGTTGCAGATACCTTAATCTAAATTTCATAAACAGTTCCCACACTCCGGACAGCTCGCCTTGACTACTTCCTTCGCCACTACCTACGTAGCGGACCTGTTTTCCTCCCTTCCAATAGCATTTTATGATTGTAGATACCTTAATCTAATTGTCATAAACAGATCCCATACCCCGAACAGCTCGCTTTTACTACTTCCTTCACCACTTCCTTTGTCGCGGACCTGTTTCCTTCCCTTCCCATAGCTTTTTTAGGATTGCAGATACCTTAATCTAATCATCATAAACAGTTCCCACACTCCGGACAGCTCAGCTTGACTACTTCCTTCACCACTTCCTACGTCGCGGACCCGTTTCCTCCCTTCCCATCAAATTTTAGGAATGCAGATACATAAATCTTATGGTCATAAACAGTTTCCACACTCCGGACAGCTCATTTTGACAACTTACTTTACCACTTCCTACGTCACGGGCCTCAAGCTAGTGTCGTCATTTGATTATATTTATGATCCATACCGTTTCTGTTCTAATATCTGTGGAATAATGCTATCAGCTATTTCTTTATCTACTGTATTCAAAAGTCAACTGCTGATCATATGTCTTTGTTTATGTGTCAAATGCTGCTTCCATAAAGATTACATTGAAATTTTGAGACCCACTGGGGCGGATTCCTGAGAGAATTTTTTAACGCCATATAGATGTTGGCACTCACCGATATGGTCTTTATCACCATGCAAAATTTGAAAACGATTGATTCAGCCGTCTATGAGGAGTTTGCGTATTACGAAATGCATAAGAGTCGATGTATAAGAGATTCGCTCGCTCCGCTCAATTAACAATGTCTCAACATTAATGTTATTACTTGTTTAATACAATTATTAAATGATTAATCATAAATTTGAATAAGAATGAACTCCAATTTTCGGCTCCACTGGTCTAGCGGGCCTCTCTGCTCGCCGGTTTCCGCTCATCGGTTCACGCCGTTCGCGGGCCCCTCCTGCTCCCGGACCCCCCCCCCGCATTGCGGGCCCTTCTGTTATGCCACTGAACACAACCATTCAATACAACATTACTAACTTCAGCTTTGTGCTTCGTAGTGTTTGCAGAATTATTAAGAATTAAAATACAACACAAAAGTACAATGTCAACCAAAACCACACTGGGAGTAAAGTGATTTAAATTGTTTTGGATAGACTATAAAGGCATTGTATGTATGTGTATGCGCGTGCGTGAGACAGACAGGACTAGACAGGATCCCTTATGAGCTCATTATCATTTATTGATGCAGCTGCTTCTGCTTATCGCTTGTTTACGATTTCAGTCGACAACGCTTGCCTGCTCCCAATAAATGTACTTTTGTTAATCAGACGACCCTAGTTGTTATATAATGTCTATATTGATTATTTTTTAAATCGTATTGGTGATGTATGATTTTGACTCTAACGACTAAATTGGAGATCCAAATTTCGACGTATAACTTAATTACTATTTTACAAAACCTTTTAATTGATTGGTTAATATAACACTTCTGCCTCTTAAAATCATGATTGGTATATACTTAGAAGTAAAAGACAGAACAATGTTTTTATTTTTCAAAAGTATTAGAACTCCATTCAATCTCCATTTAACCCAACACAGCCGTAGAATGTTAACCTAATAACCCGGTAACCAGGATGTGTCATTACGAAATTCATCAAACAAATAAACTTTTGTTTTATCCTCGTCGCCACTTTTATGACTCGGACGTTGGAAATGAACAGAACCGGACAAGTACAGGACACTAGCAGACTAGGCTACTAACACTGTAAGCGTACGAGTTGACTTTACTCACCGGGTTCATAACGTCGAATGGCGTTCCGTCACTGTGCCTTCTCGATCGGCTGGTCAGCCTCTTGGACTTTGACCGAATGACTCATCCTGGTTTGGTTCCTTCACCAGGCCCGATAAGTTAACATTTAAACTATTTGATGAGGTCAACTTGCCTCTAATTAATATAACATAAAACTCTTCTTGAATATATAACAAAAACAACTGCCCATCAACAAACAGCTAACTTCTACGAAAGCTAACTTTTTTTCTATCAGTTAGTTTTTAAACTAACTAATAACTTCTATCAGTTACTTTTTACGGGACTAACTAATAACTTCTAACTAGCTAGAATTTTTTACTAACTTTCCCATCTATGGTTTTTAGTCATATGGATCTTTAATTACCTTAAACCTTATATAATTATAGAATATAAAAGTTCCGAGTAGTATATTTTATAATTTATTAATGTGTTATTACATGTTGTAGACAGCAGTTGGTGATGTTATTGCTTATAAGTAAAACAAAAATTTGTTGAAAATATATACTGTAATATATTGTTGTAATATATACTGTATATATGGATGTTTAATTTTTTTACATTCCAAACAAAATTCCACACCAACGTGCAATGGTACCCAGGTATTTGTGGTTAATTCAAGTAATATTGGTATCTAGTAAAATATGAACTATTTTAGAGTGATTTGTTTTAGCGACTAGTGAACAACTTCACCAGCTCTTATAGAACACCGAGGTCTGTCATGGCGGAAACTCCCTCGACATTTAAGGGTGACCGGCATCCCATAAATTAATTGATGACGTCGCTTCCTGCTGAGTTTATGTTTATATAGTTTTTATTACTGAATTTGTGTTCTGTTATGAAACAACAAATTTCAGGTTTGCATAAAAGATTTTTATGTTTTATTACCAGTCAAAGTAATAAAATTTAATCTTTCTGGGTCTTAGCAAGAGTCAATGTTATGTGTGCCACTGATGTCACTGATTTACTTTAATGCAGAATACTGATCCTATGGGGCTAAGTGTGCAAATGTTTGTGCACTCCCAAACGTAACACTAATCTTTGTTTTAGATAAACTGACCAACCAAGCAATTATACAAGTAAGTTTGCCAGATAATATTTCTCTCAGCAGTATGAAATACCCCCGCCACAGCAAACCTGCAGACTAAGCGAATTTCCATTTGCCTGATTAGATTTACACTAAAATGTCTCCTTAAAAATATCACATTTATTCCCTATTTAAATAGAACTAGTGAACCCGTTGCTCGAAATCGAGCAATTGTGTGCTGCCTAGGTAAATGAATATCTAGGCGCTCAATGTGATGGCTCTGGAAATGCATTTCATATTCAAAGATACGCCATACAGCCTCAACTGACCCAACATATCGGCAATTCAAATACCTATCTATTTCGTCATTAACAATTTCATTGTCATTTGACGTGCTAAACCTTAAAGTGGCACAATAGTATCCTTTATAAATATACTTGTAAATATATTTTATACTCTTAACAGTACTACAAACCTCAACATTTATGTGGCAGTCGAATTTTGCAGCAATAGGGATTATAAGGCACTATAAAATGATTGTCCACAGTACTTCCTCAAACATCTACAGTGTTGTTGTTGTCAGGTCTCTTATATACAGCATATCCATTAACATTTTCCCTAGTGGTTTCATTAAAATCTTTAGGAAATCTTTTACTGCATTCGCCATCCTTCATACACGGTGACCGAGGATTCAAAGTGCCACATGGGCCATGAATCATTTGGTTCTTCACTTTTTCAAAGAGCATTGGGTAACGTTCTTTATCGGGAAGATAAGCATGTACAATTTGATCAATTGTTTCGGCATCTTGAATTCTGTCTTCCTCGTCTAACGTCAACAATATGTGTGCGTGTGGTAATCCCCGTTTTTGGAATTCGATAGTGTATATTAAAGCTACAGGTTTTCCAAATATTTGGTTTTTCATAATTTCAGATACTAACTCTTTGAGTTTAGTGTGAAAAACTCTTACAACTAAATCAGGTCTAAAGTGAGGTAACTCTCCAGGTTCCAAGTTTTGTACAATCTCGATCCATTTGGGATTACACGTAACTGTAATAAATAATGACGGTTTGCCAAATTTTTGAACTATAGCCATCGCGTCAAGGTAGTTTTGATTCATGTTGCGTGGCGAGCCTATGAATGAAGATGGTAAAATGACTTGTCTCCCAAGACGATGGTTCTGATTTTCAACACGATCGTGAAAAAAGTCACAGACGTTCAAGTACAAATCAGCTCGAAGTTGGTTTTGATGGTTTCGAATGAAATCTAATCTTGTTCCCTCGATCCTTACGTACATATCCACCACCCATTGCAAGAAAAGTTTTTGGGACCTATGCAGTATACTAAATTCATCTCTGATAGCAAGTCTATATGAAGTGTACTGTAACATCGTTAATCTGTTGCGTTGTCTTGACGTCCCAGGAGCATGCAACATTCCAGGATTCCATCCACTGTCACCCCCTGGAAACAAAAGTGGATATGCCATCGGATCTAAAGAAGGCTCAAGAACTGAAACTCTTCGTATTCCATGTGATTTTGAGTAAACTATTAAATTACGTTCCCCTGGAGGTTCCCCATCCCTTGCCCGAAATATAGCCGCTACGTCAGTGGTGACAGCATCGTTATAACGTCTTACGTCCAAGTCTTTATCAGTCACAATATACATTAAAACTTCGTTGTCACCAGACTGATGACAAATTTCAGCCATGGTTTTAAAAGAGCGGACATAGGGGTTGACGTCATTTAAATACAATGCAATTTCCTCCATTAAATCTCTATCACAGTTTTGGTTTGGCTCCCTATTCGGTGATGAAAATTGTCATGGATTCTGAAGTTATAAATTCCGCCTAGTAACGATTCATCCAGATGTGATTCTGAACTCACCATGGCAAAAGCTGAGTTGAATGATCTAATATTTGCCATGTAGTTTTGACTTTTTCGCTTAATTCCTTGGTCTTATGAATTTATTCCTTCAATAAGGTGTTTGATGTAGTTAGCAGGTGAATAGTTTGGTAAAACAACCTTACCTTTGTGACAACACAATGAAAATTGTCGGTTGTTTCTCTGAGTTTCCTCACCCTTAAAATGCTGAGCCCCACATGACATGCACTGAAAATTCATCGGACCAATTGTGAATGGGAGTACTTCGTCAGGCATCCTTAAACCTCTTTTATATGAGTCTGTATTTGGTTCGTAGTTTTCACGCACCCCTCGCATGAGGTCACGGCGGTGCTCGCGTGTCCTGCGTAAATGTCTCCTTCTGATAGGAGGCATGTTTAAAATCAACACTGTTCAAGAAATTAAAGTAAAAAAATTACATGGTTAAATATTACAGGAGAAATTAAAGTAAAAACACAAAAAAATACATGGTTATATAAATTACACATTTTACACTACTACATTTTATAGACATACACATTAAAATATCACTTAAAATGCCACGTGCACATTGTGGTATTGTAATTTCTTATCACTTGTAAATATTATTATTTTGCAGTTTACAAATCAGCTGACTGCTTCAAAGTTGAAGCAAAACTGTCTAAACACAGGAGAAAGCAAAAGATCTAGATGCATTTGGTTTATTGTGGCAGGCCAGTAACATATTATCATTACATTATATATTATGGATGGGACCTCAATTAGTTTCCAGAGAAAAGCAAAAATAAACGTCTCCTTAAGAAGTAAAAAAAGAATTTCTTCATTCATTTAGGCTATTATTATTACATATATTACATAGTAATGGCGACCATAATGTAGAAAGAGATAATAAAGGAATAGTAATCAAGTAGGCCTAACTAATAAAAGCTGATTGCAGTAAGTACGAAATACGAAAATTTAAAGGGCCTCACTCTCTAATTATTTTCCTAAAAAGAAAGTTTCCTGCACAACTTCACGTACCTAACGCCCTTTCCAATGACACCAAAAACATGTCATTCGGTTCAGTAGCTTTGGAGGATTAATTGCCACAAAAAACCTGCTTGCTTTTTAAATAAGTGAAGCTCCTGACCCCGGAGCTTCGCAACGGGAAAAATCAGTTTCATAATCATTGAAAAAGATTTAGAATAAATAATCTATCATAACGTTTAAGATTAAATAAACCTACCACATAGTTGTGTAAAATATTTTATTTAATATTTTTGGATCAGCTGTTTGAATTTTTGAAATATTTATTTTCAGTTCTGGTTGTTTACATTTAAATGCTAAAGCAAAGGTAAACATTGTGTTTCCATGGAGACCAATTAGGCTATTAATATTTTATTTCTGACAACAGCTGGAGTTTCATAACAATGTTTGTTTCCCATGTTAATCTTATGGAGAAATACGAAACTTTAAAGGGCCCCAGGGCCTCACTCTCTGATTATTTCTAAAAACAAAAGGTTTCCTGCACAACTTCACGTTACGCTCTTTCCAATGACACCAAGAACATGTAAATCGGTTCAGTAGTTTCGGAGGAGTAATTGTCACAAAAATCTTGCTTGCGTATTAAATAAGTATAGATGAGTTAAAACACATACTTAGGTTTGCTGCAACAGGGAGGGTAAAAGTGTTTTTTTTTTAATGTAAAATGTTAATAGTTAGTAAGAAATAAAAACATTTTCCAAATTTGGGCAAAATATGTTAATAAACAAGCAAACTACAACAGTTTACTTATTCTCCATAAGAATAACATAGGAATTTTAAATTTACAATTTTTTGGAATTTTCTCCATAACCATTAGGCGCATTATAACGCTTCAATATACTAAATTATTTGTTATTTTAAGCTCTACAAAATAGTCTGGAAAGAAATTGCTAAATTCTATGTTTTTTGGGTCAAAAATGGGAAAAACCCATTTTTACCCCATAAAAGCCCCCATATGCCCCCGTTCCCATGGTCCGATCATGCTGGTTCGCGAACTCGTTCGAATAAACGTAGGTTTACACGTTTGTACCAAATTTCATCAAAATCGGATCATTTTTGCTCAAGTTATCGCGCTAACGGACACATATATAAATATATATATATATATATATATATATATGAATTTGAACGGATGGTGTTTTTGGCCTCTAGGGACCTCAAAACGAAAAAAAAAAATCGGTCCCGGGTCCAGGTCTCACCATGAGTACTACGGTAATAGCTTATTCCCTATATGGGAAATTCGCTAAAAACAAAATATGGTACTTAAGGTAACAGAAATAAATAGCCAATAAACAATAATCCATCATGATTTTATTTCAATAATACTCTATCGATGAACAGGAAAATAGCTCATTTCTTCGCATTGAATTCTATTTACACATTATAAGGTGAGACAGAGCCTATCTTGTACTCTAAAATTACTTGTGCCAAATTATTCAGACTGTGCTGAGAATTTCATCAACAACAACTAAACGTTAGATAATTAATAGTAAATGTTACCATGGTTAAAACTAAATGAAAATAACTAAAAAGTTAACTCTGTCAAGAAATAAACTAGCTAGGCTAATTTGTTACAAATTAAAACTAAGTCTAAAACAAAATTTAAAACGGCGGCGGCATGCGAACGTTAGCGGCAAGACATGAAAGGCCCCCCCACGATCTAAACTACAAGCTAAGATGTTTGGTAACGACAAAACTTAGAATATCACGAACAGAACAGAACCCCTTAGTCACCAGGTATATATTTAATCTTAAACCTAAAATCACAATACAATAAAAATATGCGCTACGGCTGTACATTCACACCTCGAAACTTTTGTACAATATGTACATCAACACGAACCGTTACAAACAGCTGGCCAGCCATGTGAAACAAACGATAGACCACACCAAAACAATCAACATGTAAATTAAATTCAATAACTGTAATGAATAGTACAAATGCCAGTGCAAATGAAATGTAAATACATTAAAATAATATACAATACAATGAATTAAAAAAATATATAATAATGGATTCAGTGGATGTTTGTTTGGCCGACCAGCTGCTACTTCACCATTAATCTATACATATATACACTATTACTACAGTCAACATCATAACAAATTTTAAGATAAGTACATCCTTTTTTAAGCCCAGCGACAAAGTATATAGTAGAGACTTATTTTAGAAGGAGCTCCCAAAAGTGTGTGTTACTGAAAATATGACAACATACTCGGTCGACTATGTTCTGACAGTTTAAGATTTAGGGTTATGGCTCACACATCTACTCTCTTGAATATTGTACAAAATTGTTATAAAATTTGGGAACAGAGTTTTACAGGAAAGTAAAAAAAAAACACTAATACTTGTTACTTATACAAGTATTAGACTGTTACTTATACAAGTGTTATTTTTACAAAATATCTATTCCGACTGGCTCATGAAAAAAATATTTTTCAATACAAAAACAAAACCACTTGATGATTACATTTATATGCACACATTATCCCTTAGTGCATCAAATTTTGTTCCAAGTTATATTTAGATAAAAAATTGCCGCTGCGCTTAGAAGATTATCAAGATTAAAACTGTTAGGAAAAACGTAAAATTCAAAAAACAAAAACATCTAAACCAAATACACATTGTAAACGCTGGAATGTACGGGAAAACAATTTACCTGTTAAACAAATCACAACTACATAAAAACAATACTGCAAACAACATCGTGTAATGATCCAAACAAAGTTAAAAACAAATAATGCACACTATCAGTCAGTGCATAAAAGAATAACAACCATTCCATCACATGTGCCCATTGGGAACTAAGATCAAAACAGCTCAAGAACTACAGGTGTTTGGAAATTGACTAATTGAGGACCACAGAATCCTGTTGATCTGTGTGTTGTTTCAAGCACAACTATAGCGATCACTGAGGGAGAGAAGAACAATAAAAATATTTAACACTCAACCCTCTGATACGTGGTAAAAATACTTTACTAAACTTTAAAATCGCGTATCGCAATAGCATGCTCAAAATAAAACACAGAAACCCCCACTACTGTGACACTACCATAACAAGTATTATATTTATATTCTATTCATTATAAATAATATATCTATCTATTTATAGTTAACATTTTAACATCAGTATTCGTGCAAAAGGCGTCGACGTAGGCACGCAGTCCACTAGCATTAAGTACAATTTTAAACATAGCCTCCTCAACTAAACAGGTGATAAAATAACCGATGGGACAGTTTAAAGTGGACACCCATGAATCTTTGGTATCTTGGTATAAAGAATAGAGATGGTGAATGATGATGTGATAAGGGTTGTAAAGGAGAAAAGGAACTACAAATTATGTAAATTGGCTGTCTCTGTTTTAACTCAAAATCAGCTTGATCCAGATCCAGTATAAATTGAATTCTGCTAGTATATTATATTAAGGCGAGTAAGGTAAGGAAAAAGGAACCTACGAGCGAGTGTCCACTCTAAGCTTACAAACAACTCTGTGTAAAATTCAAAATAAACAAATTTGAAGAGAAATTAGGTAATTAATGTCCAAAATATAACAATAATAATAATACGGAAAATCCATTTAAAGCTCCATTCATGTAGATTGCCAGCAAGAGAGGCAAATTAAAACCAACTTTGTCTCTATACCAGTACCAGACAATGGTTTATGTAATTTTTGGTCCATACATTAACAACAAAATACTTTTTACAAGTTAAAACTGTTTAGGAAATAATTGCAAATGTTTTAAAACTACTAGCACACCAATTTGAAAAAGTTTACATATAAGTCAAATACTGTTTGTTTAAGCAAAAACAAATCAGTAGTTTGATGTTGTTAACTATTTAAGAAATAATTGTAAAGGCTCTAAACAATAAAAGACTTAAAATTAGATTGATGTATCATTTTGAAAAACCTACAAATTCGGATTAACTGGTCCTAATTAAATTTTTACACCAAAGAGCTTTGCGTAAAGTGGTTTGGCCTTAACTGTACAAATATAAAATCGTCAACAATATAACTTTTAATCACATCGCTAAAAACATTCAGCTAACCTTTAAAGCCTTATCAACCTCAATGCAACTTTTAAAACAGCCATAAAATAAAACTGCAGACAAAAATTGTTTAAGTGTTTGTGAGTATCCAGAAATGTTTTAAATCTCAACTAAATTCTTTTAAATGCCTTACTATTTAATGCTGGATTTTAATGAAATAGGTGTAACCATTGCACAAATTTTAAAACAATAGTAAAAAAGTTGAAATTTCCAAAAGTAAAAATTTAATGTAATATCTAGTTTGGGAATCTAAGTTGTACTGCAGAAAGTAAATCATGTTAATAACAGCTGGGATTCTGTGTCAAGCAAAGATCTTTTGAATTATTGTCAATTATGGATTACAGTGATAAAGGATTTCCAATATCTTCTAAGTCACATCTTTTGGACACTTTTCAGAGGTTGGAACATCAGAGGTTTGTTCAAATAGAATTGGCTAATCCGTCGCATGTACACAAAAAATTTCTCAACTTATTCAAAGAAAATGTTTAACTGTAATTTCCAAAGATTTTCGACAAGGGCCAATTTACTATTCAAAAATAATAAATTAGAATAACACAACTACTGCACAAATAAGTGATTAAAGCTAAAGTGCAAAGAACAATAAATAAAATCTTATTATCGATCACGTCAATCAACTGGTAGCAGGAAAATAATTCACAAACTGGCAAATTATTATAAATCATTAGAACAACCCAAGATTAAGACCCTAGCATAATTAGGAGGTTAGATTAGCAAATACTATTAGGACCTGTTTCTCATCGCTTTTTATACTGTAATTGTGATCTCAGTAGCTGCTACACTTACAATTAATTATTCTACACTTCTAGCTTTGGATTACTGGCTTGATACTATTACTATTTGCAAACGATAACTAAATGTACAACTAAGAAATGATTCGTAATATAAAACCAAATAGCTTTAATAACTTAAAATTTTCTAATTACAAATAAAATACTACATCACTCAATCTTCTTGATCAGTAGAAACAATTTGAATATTGCAATCATAGGTAGTAGAAATCAGAATATTTTGCTTGGGGAATCCTCTATTTAATCAGTTTTAAAACATTCATTGATCACAATTTCATCAAATTTGATTTCTACAAAGTATTGCATTCTCACACAAATTATCGAGGAAAGTGATGTTCAACTGTTTCATCTACTGATTCAGTAGTGCAAAGAAACATTCTGAAATCTACTACCTAAACTTACAACACCTAGCATCGGATCGTACTCCATTGGATTAAATGACAACCGGATTTAACAGCGGATAAACAGTTGATAAAACCTTAAAAAGCTTTGCTACAGTGGTGACTAGTGGCCAATCTGAGCCATTACTTCCTGATTGGCCAACAGCAGAGCCGTGTTCTCAGGTAGGATCGGAGCGGAGCTGATGTTGGTGGTGAGGACTTGCTCCGTCGTGTCAGGCTCCAGGATCTTGAGAGCGATCACCAGGTCATTGAGGATCTCTGTCTCTCGTGGCTCTATCAGATCAAACCTGAACAGAAGAAAAACGTATGGAGTGAATAGAATAGTCTCCTGTGGCTCTATCAGATGAAACCTGAACAGAAGAAAAACGTATGGGGTGAATAGAATAGTCTCCTGTGGCTCTATCAGATGAAACCTGATCAAAATAAGAGTGCATACACAGAGGAGCTAGGATGTTAGCTTACTGTTATGTAAAAATAATTTCACGGTTGACAACGTACCCATACTGGAGTTTGACTGGTTACCTCGTTGGGCATAGTGAGCCTAGATGGTTGGAATAATAATTTGTTTCCTCAACTGTTTCATAGCTGGTAGGCTGGTAACTAGCTAACCGGCTAGCAAACCTGTGTAGTTTGCAGCCACCGATCACCTTCCCTGTTCAGTATAGCAGTATAGCACTGTTCACTGTAGCTGCTGGCTTCATTGGTTACATTAATTTTGTGAAAGTAATTTGAAAAATTATTATTATCTTGATGGCGTTGGATTTAGAAATATTTTAATCGGAGCTACTCCACAAATTCCCAATCTGGAACCAGACCTTGATCATGAACAGCAGACCAGTGTTTCCCAACCAGTGTGCCGCGAAGTTTTAAGTAGTTAAAAGATTTTTGATCTCGTAACAGACGTGTTTTCAATGTGGTTGTGCGTTCATGACAGCACGTTCATTTTTGTAGAATTACTTGTCATTGTTGAATCCATGTTTCCAATTTTGAAAAGTCTGCGTCTGTTTGAAGGAAATATAAAAAGTACTTCTCATCCCTTGATATTTCCTCAATGGACTGGGTGAGAAAACCTATCATTGAAACTGCTTACAAGACTGCAGTGTTTACTACTGATGAAGAAAGTGGGCTGATCGACTTGTAAAATGACCGTGGTTTAAAGCTACAGTACTCCAAATTAGTTGAAGATATGGAAGCAGAATCAAAACTGAAGAAAACCAAAGTGAATATTGATATTTCATCTTTTTGGATTCCTTTGCTAAAGGAGTAACCGTTGTTTTCAAATTGAAATCAACAGATACTCCTCTAGCAATGTTCAAAGAAGGCCATGAAAGCAATATTGCCCTTTTCTACTTCGTACATTTGTAAATCTGCATTCTCATCAATGAACGCAATCAAAACCAAAACCTGTTCTCAACTAAAGTCTTTGGAAGACGATATGAGAGTCTGCTTGTCAACCATTCGTCCAAGAAAGAAACTTTTAATGAACAAACGTCAAGCACAAGTTTCCCACTAGAACTGAACCAGGGTTTACTAAAATATTTCTCACTCATTATTGGTAAATTCATACAACATTTTAATCAAGCTCAATGTTTTATTATTATTTAAAACTTTCCATTTAATAAACACTAAATAATGTACACATGTTGGATAACAAATGTGAGTTTTATATTTTTTACCTTGGTAAACCTACCTTTATATTATATACATATATACATTTAGGTACTAGTAAAAAACAGGTTTTACGGAGTAAGGTGTAGGCCTAATTGAAAAAAAGAGTTTTTTATGCACTTACTAAATGTAGTTTTAACCAACGATATTTTTGTAGAAAAGTGTGCCGTGACTACAAACATCCTGCAGTTAGTGTGTCCTGAATGGAAAAAGGTTGGGAACACTGGCCTACAAAATGGGAAATTTTGTGCAAATGTTAAACACCACTTTAAAACTTCCTTCCCTTTTTCTAGGACCATACAGTTTACTTGATTTAACTGACAAAGGACATCAATAGTAGTTAACGACAATGACCATAGAAATCTAATCAAAGAACGTGATTTTTATTTAGCAGATGCATAATTTTTAACGTGTTAGAGTACCATTACGAGACTAATCATACCATAGAGAAGCAAACCAGCTAGCATTGTAGTTAATGAAGTAAGGAAGACGACATTGGCCTCTGACTTGAACTAAGCTAACAAGGTTGCCATCAAGAATTTGGAGGGTATCTTAGTTTACAGACAACCCTAGTATAAATTGATGATAGTTTACATAATTTAGTTGGTCACAGTACCTGGCATTGAAAAGCGTAAGGTGGGCAAAAACACAGTTAAGGTGGGCATGTAGGTTCAGTAGTACCACCTCACGAAAGTGACAATGATACAGGTGTGCCAACACATGGAACAGAAGGCGAAGGATCTTGCGGACAATTGACTCAAACGAAGAAGGGAACTCATTAGCTGAAAACAAAAACAATATTAAAACTTCCTTCAGTATATCCAGTAATCCAGCGTTTTTCAACCTGTGGTACGCAGAGGCCACTGCGGTGGTACAAAGTAAAAAAATGCTGATTATAGCACCAACCTCTTTTGCTATAAATGGTAACTAAATAATTTTTTTTTATGATACTCACCGTACTTAGTAGGGAAAATTGATTCATCACTGATAGTTTTTTGAGTGAACGTCATAACATAGTCTATATACTGCGGCGCAGCAACTCTAGTTTTCTTGCCCTTCTCATCAAACCATAAATAAGTTCTGAAAATGAAAAATATCACAAATTAGATTGGTGTATTTACAATAACATTAGGCTCAAGTTGGTAAGAAATAAATTCAAACACTGTTAGTTCAAACACTCGACAATATTCTAAAATGTATACACATCAAAGATATGATATTTTGCTAGTTGGTTCCAAACGGGGTTGTTGGAATATTATTTTTCATTCTGCTATCAAGTAATGGTATTAACTAACTAATAAAGATCACCAATATAGCAAGTATATAGGTAACTAGCAGAGTACCCGTCCTTCGTACGGGGTTGGCATATATAGGAATAAAATGCTTATTGCAGTTATACTCAATCTTTGCGTTTTCAATGGGGGACACAGTTTGATAAAATTTGCTTCTTAAAATTTACGGTATACATAGTATTACACATCTACCATAGCCATAATGTTTTACCACTTCACTTAAACCTCCTGAACAATAGAGAACAATTAATTATTAAAAATTAGCAAAATATCACAAATTATTCATTAAATTAAAAACATAAACAACTGCAAACAATCCTACTTTGACAGTTCTCATTGCGTAGCACCGCTTTATGATGCTGCTTAGTTCAAATTAGCTGTTTTTATAAGTGCTAAAAAAATAATAGTGCTGCACTCTGTTAGTAAATCTTATAACTTTTTAATGCTTTTGCATATCATAGAACCAACTTTATTAGTTTAAACAGCTGGCTAAATTCTTTAATTCCCTTTAAATATGAATACTCATAAGGTTAACATGGGGAACTACAGAGCCACTGGGGTGGAGCCCGAAAGGATTTTTGAGATAAGAATATGCCTATATGTTAATCGGGAATGTGAGCTATCATCGTGGCAAATTGCAGCCCAATCCGTCAAGTAGTTAATGCGTGATTGAACTTCAAAAAAACACACAAACTTTCACATTTATAATATTAGTAAGATAAGATATAGTAAGACCAGGGCCCTGTTTCATAAAAATACTAGTCTAGTAATTACTAGTCTAGTAAATACTAGTCCCGTATTTACCTGTCCTACTAATTTGTGTTTCATAAACGTTTTTATACCGCTGGTAAATACTAGTGTAATTTACTAGTCACGTGACCAAAACTACTAGTCACGTGACCAACTTTACAAGGTAAACTTTCAAAACAAATTTCTAACCTCAATCACGGGTTTTCAAACCCTTTATAAAGCGTTTTAATTTTGTTTTCATCTGGTACAAAAAGTAAATAGTTGTAGAAACGCAGTGTTTTCTTCTAATTAATAACTGTATAGACACATAAGTAAAACAATCACGCATTATTTATGAAACCGCTATTATTTATGTTCATCAATGAGCCCGCCAACGCGCCGGCGTGGCGTGGCGCGGCGTCGCGTCGCTGCAATCAACACGGTGATTGTAGTAGCCGGTTGTAGGCCTAGTTGCGGCGCTCAACAGAGTTGGGTGGAAGTTGATCTGTTGCTGCCGGATTCGCTGTGATTTGTATAGTTTTTGTTTTATTCTGACATATAAAATTAAGCTTGCTATGAGTAAAAAAAGAATTCTCAAACTTTGAATGTAATTAAATCGTCTAAGAACATTTTGTTTGGAACGTTTTCAAGTAGGCTACCCTAACCAATGTTTTCAAATATTCGAATGCATAAGAATATTTGGGTTAAAAACCATTTGGTGATATTCTAATTTTGAGTCTACAGACCATGAATAATAAGCCTAAACGTTTATTGATGTAACAAACAAATAATTGCAACGCCGTTACAAGCAATGGAGGAGAAGTAGTAGGTTTTCAAGTATAGTAAAACATGGCAAAGGCGATATTGCAGGACGTAGCTCAGGGTAGAGTTTTTGCTTCTCATGTGGTGGGTCCCTGGTTCAAATCCGCACCAATCACTATACTTTTTGTCTCATTAATTAAACTTTTACATTGAAATAACACTAACAGCTCTAATCAACATCAATTTTTTTACTTTGAATAACAAATTCAGAATACCAAAATGGATTAAAAGTAATGTTTTTATGATAAGCAGTTCAGTCCAACGCCCAAAAATCAAATATAGGCCTACAAAATTGTTAGTACATCACATGGTTTTTAGCTATTTAGGGAAGCAAATAATTAGCACCTCAAAAATACAATGAAACTCCTCTTTAAAATTGTCATACTATTATTTCTTAAAATGTATTTAAATAAAACCGAGAGCCTTGGGTATAAAATAATCTGATTAATGTTGCAATGTTGGATACATTTTTGTACACCATTGTATGCAATACGGTATGCGGTTTTAATTTGGTTTCTTTCAAAGATTAAAAATCTTTTATCTGTGATAACTAAATAGTTTATATATTAACATTTAATATTTAAAATTATCATTTTAACACTCACAGATTTATTTTTATCTTAAATTGCAAACTTGAGCCAATTCGCACTTGAAAAAAGAATTCAATAATTTTTTTTTTTTTTTATGATGTGAGTAATGGAATAACTCTCTTCCCAAAAATACTAGTCTACTTCAAATAATACGGGTGTAGAGAGGTTGTTAGAAAATGGCAAGTATTTACCAGTGTAATTTACAAGAGTAAAACTTTATGAAACACATTGCTGTCTACACTAGTAAAAACCACTAGTAATACTAGTCCCTACACTGGTAACTAGTATTTTACACTAGTAGGTTTTTGAAACGTAGCCTTGTAAAATACACTAGTATTACTAGTCCATGGACTAGTAAATACTAGACTAGTATTTTTATGAAACAGGGCCCAGGGGTTTTAAGACCGTTTCCTTAAATCTAAAAACAGTATATAAAATCCAAAATGTAAGCTCGTATGTTTGTTTGTCCTTTATGCGTTACCAAACCGGCCATTCAATCATGATGAACATTTGGGAAGTTGTTATATACACCCCGGGAAGGTTTGTGTGAAGTTTGGTGCAGATCCATCAAAAGGGCTCCGCCCCAGTGGCTCTGGAGTTTCCCATGTTAACCTTACGAGTACTTATATTTAAATGGAATTAAAGAATCTTAACAGCTGGTTCAACTAAACAATTTGATTCTGTGATGTTCAATAGCATTAAAAAATTAATAGGTTTACCAACAGGGTAAGCACTATTATTTTTTTAAATTTATGACAACAGCTAATTGACAACCAAAAGGTGAGTGAGCGTAGCGAACGAGCTAAACCTGAAGGCAAGTGAGCGCAGCGAACGAGCTCTAACCTAAAGGTGAGTAAGCGTTGCAAACGAACTTCAACCAGGGCGTGATTAAGCGATGGGAGCGAGCTCATCTTGAAAATGAACGAACATTTGACATAAAACCACATTAGGACAGGACGACGTCTGTCGGGCCAGCTAGTATTCTATAAAACTCTTACAGCAAGGCTTTGAAACACAAAGAATAAGATACAATGACACATTTATAATATGTAACAGATATGCAATTGCTGACGTATTTTTAATACACACCAAAAATTCTTTGCCAATAAAAAAATGCATGCATAACTCTAAAACAGTTAGTTATCGTTAACTTCAACATACGACAATAATTTGATTGTTCAAGTCAGCATTTGGCACAAGGAAATGGGCAGAAGTGCTTTTAAGGCACATCTAATCTGGCATTGGTCTCAGAACTGAGGAAGTTATGGCAACTATTGGCAAATTAAAATAACCAAACGGAAAGTAAGACAAGAATAACAATCGTGAAGTATGACCTCTTACTGGCCAGTATCCTCTACTCCCAAGACATAAACAGTACAATAGCTATTGTCAGAAGATTACTACCACACTTTCTCTGCTGCCAGTAAACTGTTTATTATGATGCCAGTTAGATAATGAGTTCCATTTGAATCAGACAAGTATCTTAGGTCCTAAGCTATTTTTAACGTTCTCTACATGCTGGTTTTGATACAGCCACCAGACAAATGCTTATTTGATTTAGATTAAAGATATCAGTAAAACTGATTTGAGGTGTAACACAGGGAAATAGCTTGTCGGAACCTCTCTTAATAACGTCAACACTTTAAGTGTTACCATATACTAACCAACACAAGTAGAATACTAATGCCATTGTAAAAGCTGTGGGTACATACGTACGCACACTGGTTTTCTGAGTCAGATTGTCGGCGCCAATTATGTCAGACTCGGCGAACTTATTGTCCCATGCTAGTAAACGTAAGCGGCCATAGTGCACCTACACGCCGATTTTCTGCGCGCAGGTAGTGTGACTCAGATTTTTACCATAATAAACCCGATAAAGAGGGTTTTAACCCTCTTTATCGGGCTGTTGATTTTTGTTTTTGTATTGTGTATAGGTGTTTCATTACATTAACCATGGATATCAACCAATTGATATCAAAGGTTTAACACATTCCTGCAAATTAAGCGCATCAAAGTGCATTATTATTTTTTTTTTTTTATATAGCAACATTAGACATTAAATGTATCTGCTGATTTAATTGAATCGTTTGCAATATTGCATTTTTACAAAATAAATAATTCAACTTACAGAAATAAATTTATTTACCTCAGCGGGACATGCAAGTTCAAAGTGTTTTGTGATTTTCCCCAGTTTTTGGCGAGCTTGTGCTCGATTTTTATGAGTATTGAATACAAGGTGTGCAAGCTCATTCTGAAATATAAAAATAACCTGTTGTCCACTGCAAGAAGTTGCGGGAAAATATGTATCCCTTAAATAGGTCTCAACACAGACAGGTAGAGCTTACAACCTGCTTGCATTGGCCACCTCATCAGAGTCAGACACTCGGCGTCAGACTTCCTGCTTATACCAGCGTGCATCGTGGACGTACCCTGAGGGTCTGGTTTAGTTGTTGACACTGAGCGCTGGTGTTGACTAATTGTGTTTCAATTATTTTAGGGTAATTTTTACGATTTGTACTTTACTGTTTGTTGTATAACCAGGATATAGGCTACTGTCTATGGTTAGATTGTTTTGGTAAAACGTCGTTTTAAATAACTGAAATACTGTAACAAGAAACAAACTGTAAACAAAAAAAAAGTCCCAAGAGACACCGGACTGAACTAACATAAAAATTGTCTTCATCTGATCCATAAGAATGACAAATCTACCAAGGGGGATGTTTTATCTATGGTTTTACACTTTTTTCATGAACTATTTTCCATAAATAACAGATAAATAACTCTTAACGACACTAAAGTTTACTTGGGAAGGTAGGAATTTATGGAGAATATGGCGAAGAATGGTTTTTAGTTCCAACACATCAAACTGTATAAACCAAGCATTGAATATAACTCAATTTTGAACATTAAGTAAGACCTTGAGTGTTATTGAATTGAAACATGTCTTAGAAATCTTTAATATTGCATCGAGGAGATACCTTGGACCTTATAATTATCTGTTGTTTGCCAGAAAAGGTGCAGTAAAATAAAAATATTTTTTTTATAAAATAAACTAATTCCACTGACTCTACCACATACACTTTTATAATGTTATAGAAAAAATCAATTTCACACTTGCCTCTTTAAGAGACAGAGACAGATTCTATTAAAAACCCCTTAACAGCAGCCACAAAGACTGGGAGAAAAGGGGAAAAAACAATAATTGTCTGAATTTGATCCAGCATATGGATTTGCTGGATCTAATCCTGCCTATTACAACGACTTGATCTAATCTACCATACTTTACCTAAGTCCTGGGCCGGCCATGTCTGGGCAGCCGGACATCGTACAGAACTCACTGATGGTTCCGTAAACCAGGTTTATGTGGTCAAAGAATGCAATTGCTGCAACAAACAATATTTGTTAACAAAAAAAAACTCAAGAATTACACAGATTTCAGCAGCCTACAGGTCAAGTAGGCTATTTGGACCAGAATGAGAAATGTGTTTTGGTACCAAGGCGAGCTTCTATGATTTCTTAGTATTTTCCCCTGATTATGTTTCACCATTGAATTTTCGGATACTGAAGATGTCCCATTTATATGGACCAGTAGTTAAAAAAAAAACATAGATGAACCAGTGATAGAGTGAGCTAGTGTCTAAAATTTTGTTACTACCTTATTTTAAGCCTATATGATATTCATGATATAAATTATGCTTTTACTACAATAAGTCATCCTAAAAGTTGGACTAGGTTGCATATTCGTCAAAACTCAGTAATCTAAACCGGCACAATCTGTGGGTGGCTCAATTCAACTATGCCCTTTTGATTTAAAAAAACTGACGACTTTAACATGGGTATGGAATGTCTAGTTCCATCAATAGGCATTGGTTTCACATTCTTTTTAATTAAAAAAGTTTACCAAACAAAGATGCTGTTGTTAAAAGCTATTATGGCTCCTGTTCGCCCACTTGTATGTCTTTTTTATTACTTTTCCCTAACTTTATTATTCTTACAGTTGATATGATTAATTTGTCAATTTTTAGATGTACAAATAGTACTGATATAAAATTAGTCTATTTGGGCATTAAAAAATAAAATACCCCTGCCGCAGCAAACCTGCAGACTAAGCGAATTTCCATTTGACTGATTTGATTTACACTGAAATAATGTCTACTTAAAAATATAACATTTATTCCCGATTTAAATAGAATTAGTTTAACAAGTACTTAGGTTTGCTGCATCAGGGAGGGTAAAACTGTTTTTTTTGTAAAATGTTAATAGTTAGTAAGAAATAAAAACGTTTTCCAAATTTGATCAAAATATGTTCATAAACAAGCAAACTACAACAGTTTACTTATTCTCCATAAGAATAACATGGGAATTTTAAATTTACAATTTTTTTGAATTTTCTCCGTAACCATTAGGCGCATAATAACGCTTCAATATACTAAATTATTTGTTTTTTTAAGCTCTACAAAATGGTTTGGAAAGAAATTGCTAAATTTTATGTTTTTTGGGTCAAAATGGGAAAAACCTATTTTTACCCCATAAAACCCCCCGTAAACCCCGGTTCCCATGGTCCGATCATGCTGGATCGCGAACTCGTTCAAATAAACGTATGTTTACACGTTTGTACCAAATTTCATCAAAATCGGATCATTTTTGCTCGAGTTATCGTGCTAACGGACACATATATATATATATACGTGTAGGATGTAAAAGAGCTATGTGTGTACGAATCTTCCTGCCAAACATCAAGGAGTATGCATCACAGCCAGATGAATTTGAGGTTTGACGTAACTGCATAAGCATTCTGAAGAGTTTGACGTCTAGTCTCCCTCCCTCGTCTTCCATTGCTCTTAGGGACTTATATATATGTGTCCGTTAGCACGATGACTCGAGCAAAAATGATCCGATTTTGATGAAATTTGGTACAAACGTGTAAACACACATATATATATATATATACCAATATATAAATATATATATATATGAATTTGAACGGATGGTGTTTTTGGCCTCTAGGGACCTCAAAACGAAAAAAAAAATCGGTCCCGCGTCCAGGTCTTACCATGAGTACTACGGTAATAGCTTATTCCCTATATGGGAAATTCGCTAAAAAAGTAAAAAAGTCAAGTCCCTGAGCTCTTTCTCTCCAAAACCTTTTCCGTAGACGTAATATAGACGTAAACTTATCTTCATTCCTATGATTTCACATATTTCTTACGCAGCTTCTATGTTCTGCATTATAATTTTTCATTTAGTTATTTGTGACTGCATATAACCGTTACCAAAAATCCTTATTTAGGGTACTACAGCAACTTATAATAAACCAACATTAACAATATTTCATTAGTTAATCATCTACCATTGTTAATCAGCAATGTTCCTTAAACTAAACACAGCAAACTTAATTCCTAATCAACTTGCACATGTCACGGGACTCAGTGTTAAAGAAACAATATCTTGATAAAAAAACTAAAAATACTTGGTCTGCCATTGACTTGTGGATACTGAATTGGACATCTCATCTATATCTAACAGATGTAGCCACTTACTAAACGATGAGCTACAGATGAGCAACTGTCTAAAATGATGTTTTTTTTTGTAACTGAGTGATAGTTTGATGTGACATAAAAGTCAACTTACTGTACAGGGTGTTTCACTGAAACCCTGACAAACTTCCTGGGGTCAAAACTAGAAAAAATGTCCTACAAGCATATCTCCTAACTCACTAATGAGAATTTTAGACCTTTATACAATACTTCTCTACTATGAAAACCAATATAAAAATTTTTAATGAGGTATTGTTTATAAATAGGCAAAAACAATCTACATTTTTGTTTATTCCTTCAAATTGAATTAATATGTGGTGGTACCTTACAATACTTTTGATTTTTATAAAAATAATCCCCATACAAGGTATACATAAATTTATATTTTATTGTTCTCCATTAAATTCTACAACTTTTGGTAAAGTAGCAAGCCTAACGATTAAATAGTTTAAATATGAAAAGCTGTCAAAAACAAATTTTTTTTAACCCTGATTTTTCAACTTTTTTTTCAGTCACACCCAACATGAAGTGCACATAATAGTAATGAAATCTCTTTGAAAATTAATATTCTATCTAGCGAGGTTTAATTAAAATATCTTGTAGATTTTTCAATCTAGAGGTTAAATTAATCAACAGATACACTGAAAACCTAAAAAAAACACATTTTTACATATAAATAGAAAACGAGTGAGTTTAGGACATATGCTTATAGAAATATTTGTACATTTATTTACTATGTTTTAAATGTCAACAGCATACAAATCAGTAGATAACAAAATGTATATCAGCGCTTTTTGTTGGTAGCTAAACTCACAAACAAATAAACATCACTTTAACATGGGGATAGTGTCTCGTTCTACTTCAATAAAACTAAATATGTCTTCCAACATTTTGTTATCTACTGATTCGTATGCTGTTAACATTTAAACCACAGTAAATAAATGTACAAATATTTTACAATAGCGATCGGTCACGACCAGTCGTGACCCCTTTGGCCTACGATGGCTAGTCTGAATCAATCGCAATTGCAATATTTTTTACCATCTTGTGAATGTACACAAGTGTTCACATACCAAAAAGTATTTTGCGTATTTGGTTAAGAAGTTTTTTAGTATTGTGATTTGTAGACAAAAACTACTAGAAGGTTTAAATATTGGTAACTTATAGAAACAAAAGAATAAAGTTTCTTTCTTATCCAGGCTGTAGCCTAAAAACAAAAAAAAAAAAAAACAACTGTGAGAAAAGCCACCACGTGCCAAGGGCACTCCCAGGATTGTTATGTTATCACTTTCTTATATTGCAGCAATAAATACCACAGAGTTTTTAAGTTGATCTTCAAGCAGTCATGAATCTACCAAGATGGTGTGTGTGTTAGGAAATGAATCAATGAAATACATCATAATTTTTTTCAATCTTTTTAGTGATTTTGTTACTATAAGGAATAATTTTAAAAATATTGAATGAAACTGTTCAAACATTAATTTATTTGTTTGGACACAATTAATTAATTTCATTCGTTTGCTTACCTAACTGATATTTTTTAGTAACTAAATATATTGATTTGTTTATACACAACAATTTTGATGTTCAAAAAGTAAAGAAACTAACGTATGAATCAGAATAGCTGATAACCTTTACGCACACTAAAATATGTTTCAAAATGACTGCAGTATTAACTGTTTACAACAGTTTTCTTTAACCATAACCACTTAATTTTTGTGATGGATACAAATATTGTATAACCACTTACAAAGGACTTCTTACTTCGCTAAGGTTGGTTTGACCTTCAAACAGTAAAGATTTGAAACAAAACGTAAAGTAAAATATTTAGTGCCAAGCTGTTTGTCAAAAGAGGACGCATTAAAGTGCAAAGAAGCTCAGAATTCTGGCATAGTGCCCAGTGGGCCTTGAACTCCAACTCCGGTCTGCTTTGCAAACTCAAATCAACTTACAAATAACAGTAGTACTTTAGCACAAGAAAGTTATGTTTAACAGAAATACTGTAGTTTTAGATCATTTTGAGCCACTCATGGCGGCTGATTTCAATATTTATTTTATGTGACCTGGCAAAGTTTAAACCGTGGTACCAAATGATGTTGGAACTGATAAACCAAAAACGTGTGCAATTTTTTATCATGTTGGCTAAAATTTGTATGTCAAATTATGCCATGTTTAATAGAAAGACTTGAATTTTAATTCAGTATGCAATCAACAAACAAGAAAAAAGTATAAACAAATCACCCTTGTTTAAAAAATCAAGAATGGAAAAATTTAATTTCCACAATTTTAGAATTTGGATTAATGAAATACATTTATTTGACTATTGACAAAACAATATAATTTTTCAGAGAAATGTAGACTATTTCTAGTAAATAGTGAACTATGAGTACCTACTTAGTAGCAATGGAAAATAAAAATAATTTATCCTGCAAGTCACCAGATTTAGGTGAAAATTACAACAATTACTTAATCCGGTTAGAGACCCTTTAAACCCCACCTTTGATCAACCACTGCTTGGGATTAACCTCCTCTACTGGGATAAAAATAGACATCGGTTTATTGGATTAAATTTTATAAGTTTAGTTCAAATGACCTTTCCTAGAGCCTTCTGTCCAATATGTAAGAATTGAATGGTATTGGTGCATATGAATTCATTATTTACAACATGAGAAAATGGAAAGCAGAAAAAACTGTGACTATAAGAAAGAGTAGGCCTATTAAGTTACAAGTTGTTGTTCGTTTCAACCAATCTTTTAGTTCATACGACCCTGGTTTCATGCGGCAATGAGGGTCAACCAACAAGAGACCTCATGGATCCAAAAGCAGAATAATTGAATAGCTCAAAA